TCGTAATATCTACGAAAGCTTTAAAAGACAGATTTATAAATCCTGAGAAGCTTATAAAGCACGTTGACCATTCGTAATCATGCTAGATCCAGGGTGGTGACGAACGAATCACATAGTAGGCTAGTTAGCTTTTCCCTAGTTCTTGTTTCTAGCACAGATCCGACTCCCTTCTAAGCGTTTTTCAAGAAAAGAATCGTTGGAAGACAACCTTTTTCATGCGAAAGGAGGAGAATGAGAGAAAGAGAGGCTGGGACAGGCTGCAAAAGCGAGGTAGAGAGAGAGAGAGAGAGCTAGAGAAGGAGTGAGCGGACAAGAGAGAGAAATGGGAATAAACCGAAAGAGAAGCGAAGCGTTTAGTCTTTTAACTCTCAATCTTTTTGCTAACTAACTAGTTTAGAAACATTACTATGGTCTTTGGTATCTTGGTCTCTAGCTTGATTCGTACCTGGAACAGATATCGTTTATCACAAATTTGCGCGTTCTCTGAAAGAACAACGTTTAGCGCAGATCAAGTTCTCGATACCATAAAACAAGAGAGAAAATCCTAATGATGAAGATTTTTCTTACTTAGCTAGCAGATTTTTCAATGAGTGTTAGATCTTTTCATATAAGCTTTGCTTAAACTCAAACTGGTTCTTTTTTAAATAAAGCTTCTAAAGTAGCACTCGTGATCCACTGAGCACTGAGCACTGATAACTCCTTGTTATCTCATACGACGCTACCTTTAAAATTTTCTCCCGACTAGGTAAAAATAATAAAGAAAGTGGGGAAAGCGTCTGAAAGAAATTTCGACCTGGTATGTATCGTTTCTTTGACAAGCTCACACGAGGTTGGTGAACAATTTTTATTCGGATAGCGTTTCGACGGTTTCGCTTTCGTCATAGGCGACGATTCGAGTCGATAGTCCACCGTTCTTCTTCGTACTAATACTACTACTACTTCGTCTAAATACTACAAAATTCTTTTTGTAGAGGAGAACCTCTTCGTTTTCATTTTATTTCATTTGACATTCCCCACAATAACACAGCTTCAGAACATCATTTTATTTGACTCAAAAGATGAAGAGAAACCAGAAAAATATCCGAAGAATCCTAGTTTTTCATGCAATTGTGGCAACCATTATTGTTAACTTTTCGTGACATCTTGTCTGTCGTCGCACGCCCTTTCTATTCACTATTCATTTTAGCTTTAGGCTATCGTAAACATATATTTGCACTCGTATGTAATTCGATCTTTCATCAGGTTTTTTATTAGTGTTCCTTTTCCTCTCATTGCTTTAAAAGGTCCGGTTCGACGATGACGACGACGGCGGTGGCGGGCCTGCAAGGCAGAGTGTTTGGTGTCGAGCGCTGACCACTGCTTCACGCCGCTTCACCTTAATCCCTTATTTTAACTATCTCTGCTTCAACAACACCTATCACGATCGTGACGACTTTGTCAGCTAACGAGCCAGCCAGTTGGTCAGTCAGTCGTGTTCATCTCCATTAGCTATCGACATCAGTTAGAAAGGTCCTACGTAGATTTACAGCAGTCAATTCTTTAATATACCATCTATGAACTCCATCTTTATACCATCAAGTCAGAAGGAAATTTTTAAACAATTCTTTCGCCTGTTTTTCTGATATAACGGAAAGTTCTTCTAGCGAATTGACGACATCGTGAGGCTTAAACACTCAAGGTTTCAATTTTGAATAAATATTTCCCAACTCGTTTTCATGTTTGCTGACTGAAATAAAACCACTAGAATCTAAAGATACTTTCCAACAAGATTCAAATTTGCTTATTCTTCAGTGATGGAATTCCGGTTTCTAGGACTTTTCTAGGTTTCTAGGAACCCACAAATCGTATTTCTCTTCGGTTTTTGTCATATATGCTCGTACCTGAAGCGATAAAGCTGTTGAACAAGAACTGTTAACCAGAAAACAGCACCGTACCCAAATAGGTCATCGACGTGGATAGTTGACACGATGGAGACGCTTAGAAATTTAAGTGTTTTTTCTTCGAAAAATTGAATTTTTAACAGATTTAAAGTGGAAGTGATATTTTCGAACGATTGAATATGCACCTACGATGTTTGTGCTTTACGATTGTCAGGTTACTCTAATCATCAGGGCTTAAGTTATCTACAAGTAACTTGTTAAAGGTTACTGATTCTACGAATTCACTGGTACTATCGAGAACATCCAGGGCGATTTATATAGCTCTTCAAGAGGTTGCCAGGTTCATACTCGTATTCCTCGTTTCCTGACCATTGTCAGAAGCCTCTGCCATTGCTATTTGAAGATTTCTCGTCGAAAAGTGAAAAAAAAGCTGAATATGGAGTGAAACTTCTGCTCATTTTGTGGTGAACACCAAAATTATAAACTTCGAAGAGTGTTGGACAAAATGAGGAAGAATCGACTGGAAAACTGCCTGCTCCCTGAAGTGCTTTATTTAAGCACGTCATTAATTTGTGCTTTCGTCTGTCAAAGAATTCTTCAACAAACATACCGGCTAGGTTTATGACGAAAGCACTGAGGAAGAAAATATTGATAGCAGACACGTTCAGAAGTCGACATAGACTTTAACTATGATCGAAGTCATTTTCTCAGGCCAAAAACCCTCTTTTCTCCATGGACTCTAGAATGGAAGTGGGAGTAGGACACTACCTTTTCAAGTTTTCAAGCACGCTATGCTTTCGTTGAGGCACAATTATTTTGACGATGGGAGCTGGGTGGTACTATCAACTCAGACATGTGTATCAATTGCAGTGCTTGTTTATAATGAGTTTTTGTCATTCGTTTTATTATTTTGAAATCGTTAGACATAGAGGTGTTCGGCTTCTAACGTTCATTCGGCGGCAACGTGGTTATTTTCCGTTTCATGTCCTCGCTGACATGCTAAATACTGGTCAAGGTTGATTTTTTTGAGAACCAGGGATAGACGTGGTAAGGCACTCTCATGTTGTCAGTCAAGGTTTTTGCGGTTATGTCGATATGAGTGGTGTTGGCTCCATTCCAAATTGGATTCTTTCAGTATGAGTTTATTTTCCGTCTCATGTCCTCACTGATATGCTAAATACTGGTCAGCATTGATTTTTCTCAGAACCAGGGATGGATGTGCAAAGGCACTCCTATGTTGTCAGTAAAGGCATTTGCAGCTCTGTCTATATGAGTGGAGTTGGTTTCCTTACAAACTGGATTCTTCCAGTATGACAGTGAATCTTGTAACAGCAACGATTACTACGACTTGTCTATAGAACGCATAGAACGCTCCAAGAACATGTGACAATCTCTTGACTTATAGCAGAACAATCTTTGTTGGTCTCTGTGTGGCACATCGGCTAGCCACTGGACTACGCTAACTCTAAACCCATGAAAAGCGCAACATATTTACTACGATTCGGTTTCCTTTATTGCTCCTATTCAGAACGCAGTCATAAGTAACTCTCCGGTTCGAACTCTATCTCATCCTAGTTATAAACGTTCGCATTGATAAGTGAATCTCCTCTTTTCGATCTCAGTTTACCTTCCAGGAACACACTCTACATACACGCAAAACGAAGTGCTCTTTTAATTTTCAACAAATTATGGTCTAATATGGTACAACTTATGTTTCTGGGTTCTTTACAAATTTAGTAACGCTCGAGGTTTTTGTGCAATCGGTGGTCTGGGTTGCCCTTGTGCTGAACGGGCAGCAGTTTCATTGGGTGTTGGTAATCAAGATGTTTGGCATGACTCGCTCAGGTTAGTGGGCCATGTCGTCTTCTACTATTTAAAAACTTTACTGCCGCTTTTTCTTACCAAGTATGTTCCAGTACATCAGATAAAAGGTTACACATCGAGAAAAGTGGTGAATCAGTAAAGGTTAAGGAAACAGTGTAGGACATAGATGAAAAAAATGGGGGCGTATATGGAAAGGCAGTGTGTCTCCTTTTAAAGGATGAAAACAGGAGAAAGGAAACCAAACCCATTGTTATCACTGTTTTTTATCCAATGCATTTTGCTGCTTTACCATCATTTTTCGTTGCTGTTGCTCCTGTTCTTTTATCAACTCTCGTAAATGTTACTGCATATAAATCGCTATTGTAAAATTATTAGATCTGGGTAGAAATAAGATTTCAATGCGAGACAAATCTTTTTACACATTTTGAAGCCTCTACGAACAATCGAACAATTTTTTATCTACTGCCTATTCCATTTTTTTATGGGTGTGAATGATGTGATGTGATGTGAAATATAACCGCAATGACCCTGAGACGTTTGCAAAACTCCGAACCGCGGATGTCAGCGGTGGGGATCGAACAAGCTATTGCCCCTTCGGGAAGCTGGCATCTTCACCACCACACCATACGGGTGCTTGGTTTCGCCTCTTTCTCTGCTAGTTCTATCGTTTAGTGCTATCAAAAATCACGGGGTGATCCGGAGAGCGCAAATCGACGCTGAACCCAGTTAAGCTCAAGCTATACTATTAATCACAATGGAATCACCTTTTCTTTACAGCGTATTCTACCTTTTTCACAGGAAGGCATGATGTGAAATATAGCCACAATGGTACTGAGATATTTGCAAAACCCCTAACAGCAGGTGGGAATCGAACACGTAGTCCGGAATTTTACAAATATCTCAGTATCATTGTGGTTACATTTCACCTCTATGAACATTTTAAAAGAACAATCATTGACCTTCCTAGAGAAAGACAGAAAAAACACATCACCGGCTTCTTGTTTGAACAACCTTAAACTCGAATATAGCTTACGATAAGTTTTGCACCTATTGTGAAAAAAACTAGATAGACAAATAACAGTACAACAATGTTTATGAACAATGTACGACACCGTTGACTCAGTCAAGCTCTTAACATCTTCTCCATCGAGATATTACATTATATTATGAAATTCTTTGACCACAATAAACGGTTTCTCTGTTGATGATCTACGTTCAACAGTGACGACAGATGATGATGGAATGATGGCCACATATCACATGGATATCGATCGGTTGGGTTGATTTCCATAATTCTGTCAGTTTATTCCTGTATTGAGCTTCAGCAACTTTTCTTGAATACTTCTTAAGAAGAATCTACTCGTATGTATTTGAATATTTCACAATAATTCCTTGGGAAAACGGTGATTTTGAAAACGCGTTAACAAGTTTTTCGATTAACGCTTCAATTTAGATGTTGTTCCTATTACTAATTATTCCACTAGTCTGTAGCCCAATAACTATTATCCCTAGAAAACTGCTATTCTCAGACCCCAAATACTCGGTTTTCTCTCTCAGTCCGAACGGAAGGTAGGATTTATCGGTTAATTGGTTATCGTTGTTATGACTAATGTTGGCAAGAACCATGACATATAGTCAAGAACTCTTCAAGCTCCAAGTTTAGCAGTGTTGTTCAGATTTCTTGGCTACATTGCTCCAGATAACAACGGCGTAAAAAATGTGTTTCTGAGATGCATTTCATGCAATCATACGCGACAAGTGACTTTCGAAAATAGAGATGACGTACTCGGTAAGGAGAATTTGTCTAAGGAGTATGAGGAACGGTAGACATTATTTAGGATTTCTTTTGGAAAAGCTATAATTACACATTAAGGATACTCATGGACTGCTGTTCCTGATTTGATTGTGTACCATCAAGACAACAACGGTGATGAGAACACTATGCTCTTCAAGAAGAATATCTCAGAGGTTGGTTGTGAACAAAAATCGGAACAAATTAAAAAACATTTGTACACAAAAAACACATAGATAAAAAGGATGAAGAATAGAGCTCTCGACTTTAATCAGACCCTAATGAATGCCTCATGCATTCGACTTCATCAAGCATCGTCACAGGGGATTGACCGCATATACGGCCGAAACAATGAATAGCCGTGGCCTGTCAATAGGTCAAGTCAATGTTGCTATTCTCCGAGAACAAGTGTTTGACCAGTTTTCGACCTCAATAGGAGGAAGGGCCCCATGGACCTGGGGCTTGAGGTCGAACGCATGCCTATTGGAGGGTGCCTCTAACCATTGCTCTACACGCACCCTCAGTACTTATACATATGAGTGTATGCGTACATACACAAATAGCCATTCGCATAACCGCACATTGATACACACACGTGTATACCCATATCTACACGCAACGACACATATGCGTACACCGAGACACGCATATACACACACACACGCACGCACGCACACGAACACACGTGGAGCATATAGGCATATGATATCTGAAGTTCATAGCCGACGCGAAAGTTTGTTGATGCGCAATCAAACACTTGCGTTATCGTTGAAACGTTAAAACCTTCACATTGCGTCGTCCATTTGAATCCTACCTCTCACATCGTTCATGTTGTTCAAGCTGAAAAGCACAAACTTAACAGTTCTTTTCTCTTTACAATAAGAGAACGAAAAATTCGTTTCATTATCGACCTCTCGTCGACGTAACTTTGACGATACACCACCAGAAACGTTCATCTTCTTGCTTGCTGCCAATAAAAGGCCTTTTTGTACCACCGCATAGAAGCACAAAACAAACTCTATTTTTTAACTTTTGCACCGCATCATGCATTTGCCTACCTCTAGGCCCATTTTCTTCTCTGACGATGCCATCAGCAATCACCCGTCAAGGCATTTGATCTGGGGAGGGCAAGTCGGCATTAGGCTCAGCCAAGCAGAAGCTGTGGTCGAAATCACATACTTTATTTTTTATTTACTGCTTACTATTTTTCACCAGCAGGGTATGATGTGAAGTAAAACCACTAATAGATGATCAAAGGGAGCGTGTGGCGCAGTTTTCTGAGTCACCATGCAACACACACGTGGATCCGATCCCCCCAGCGCCCATGGCCCACCAAGCCCTCCATCCCTTCGGGTTCGGCAAATTGGTACCACGCTTGTCTGGGAGGATGCCAGCACTGGCTCAATACATCGATAGGCCACCGCGAGTCGTTGTTAAGGCCAGATATGTTTTCGATCACCTCGAAACGATGGGTAATGAAGTCGAATGCATGGCGCATACCTCAGGACCTTTATACTTTTATTTATCACATGAGCACTCGGAAAGGGTAATCGGGGATTCGAATCTGGCCTGGCGTCCATGCTTTGCCAATATTTCAGCGCCATAGTGGTTGTATTTCGCATCATATCCTACCTGAAAAAATAATAGGCAGTAAATAAAAAGTTAGAGAATACTCGCATATAGTTTGAAAAACAAAGTTAAGAGTTCTAAGCGTCTTCTATAACCTAATATGACCCTTCGTCCCATATAGACAAGGATGCTGAGATTTGAGCAAAATTCGCTTCAATGGGTTTCGAACCGGCGATTAAGCTTTCCGGAGCTCACGTGCAATCCAACATACCAACGGACGCTTTTGCTATGCATTTATCTCGGCCACTTTATTACCCTAACCGTGCCATTTGCAATCATTAGCCATCAGGAATGATCTGAGGAGCATTAATCGGCATCGTACTCAGTTCAGCTGAAGCTGCGATCGAAATCACACTCTTACTTACTGTATGCCCTTTCTTACTAGCGGAGTATTATGTGAAATACTACCGCAGGATTGCTGAAATATGGGTGAGACTCGGAAACTCAGGTGGGCTTACGAACAGCGATAACCCTTTACCCGAGGTTCCGAGTTTTGCTAATGTATCAGCATTAATGCGATTGTATTTCGCAAAATGCCCTCCAATGAGAAAAGAATAGGCAGCGGATAAAACGTAACCATCATCTCTTACAATTCTTATCCCAACACTTTCGTTATTCTGCGCCTTCTTTGGCAGTCGTCATACACGAATATTGCGAGCTTCCGAGTGGAGTGAGTTCGCTTTTTGTTTGGATTATTCATCAATGTCTTCGAATTCTGGTCGAGTGTAATCCTCCTTGGAATCCCTTGAAGGACCATTCTTCGTCTTTCTCAAGCCTTCACCACAGAAAATCGCCAGCCCCATTAGATCGGAAGGAGCCTTTCATTGTGGCACCAACTAGCTTATTGCAGATTGGGCTCAATGGAGAGGTGAAGAATGAGTGGGCAAGCGAGCCAGCGCGCATTTCATTGTACCTTTAACCACGGCACTACACGAGCTATAAAAGAAGAAATGATAGATCTGCATATATAAATATGTTTGTGTACCAAAAATTTTATTTGGAGAAAAGAAATTTCCTATTTTTCCAGGAAGCGATAATGATGGATCCACAAAAGAGAACGGTGATTTCTAATTGCTTTGGAGTGAAGGCGATTATCCTCGGCAACAATTTGAGGGATTCACGAATTCTTGTTGGACTCAACGACAGAAATCCAACGTGTGTTTTTTAAGGCCGAAATTTTTTCATTCGGGACTTTGTGGATTCGCCGACGTTAAAAAAAATGAAATTTTGTAAGCGGACGTGTTCCAACATCGTGGAAACTCGTCCGCTCATTCGTAGCAAGGGTTTTCTATGCAGTTCGCTATTCAGTTTCCATGATGTCTACTCTTTCGATTTACTGACTGATTCTATGACGTTAATACTAAAAAATAATCGTTTCCCGATGTTTGTCATCGACAACGACCTGGACATTCGTCTCGCTGCTCAAGAACAGCCCGATGGCTCACTGATGTATTTCAGGTCTGTGATGGTTCACATCTATCTTCTATAACTTGAAACATCTCGGTATAACATTTTGTAAAGAAATGTTCTGTGAAACACTTTGGTGAATTATGAAATATTAGAAAAATAAATCCGCCATACCTTTCTACGCAGTTCTGCTTTTCTCTGTTAAAAATATCCTTATCCCAAAAAACTGACCTTTTTCCGCCAAGTGCTTAGATTTTTGTGATAGCTAGAAAATGGCAGGAAATTCTACCAATTAAAAGGTTCTCCGAAATGTCACTGAGATAGAATAAAGCATATTAGCTGATAGCTATTGCTGATAGCGCATATAAAATACGGTTGACAGAAAGGCGAAGCGAAGGATACGTGTGGTGTGGTGGTGGACACATGTTAGCTCACGGAATGGGTAATAGCGTGGGGTTCGATAACCGCCGCATAGACCCGCGGTTCGAAGTGTTGCAAATATCTCAGCATCACTGCAGTTGTATTTCACAGCATACTCTGCCATGAAAAAAAAGAATAAGCAATAAATAAAAGGTGATTACAAGAAGACATATTATGACGAGATTCGGCGAGGGAAAAGTTTTTTTCGAATTTCTTCCTCACGAAGTTCATCGTATTACTTCCAAATTTCACTCGAGGTATTTTCAGACTTTTGGTCGAACTAAGCAAAATTTTAAACCAATTCCTAATGAACTATTATTTCCAATGATACAGAACAGCCAATGGTCATTTTCCCAACTGAATGCTCTGCAAGGTTTACAGAGAGAACTGTGAAAATCGTCTTAAAAAAGCGTAGTTGAAATCACAGTAGTTATTTTTTTTGCAGTTTCTTCCAAACCCTCGTCCTCAACTTAGGAAAAAAGTCTTCTCAAACCCCAAAGTGTCATATCTAGTTTCAAATGCTTGTTTGGATCCTTGGTTGCCTTAATGGCATGTCATTACGAATGGTGCGTACCCCAACACATCTTGCATTCGTGTCTTCATCGGTCAGTCAACGTCCATTGTTGCCATATGCTATCCACCCAGCAAAATACCCGTTGGAATCCTGCCTGCTTAATTCGTTGCGCCTCATCCAAAATTTTTGATAAGTATCATAGGTTACTCTTCGCTAAGAGCTTGTAGAGCATACTCAATAAGCCTATCGGATTATGGTTGCGGAGGTCCTTCGGTCACCTATGTTGAGCAGGATGGACATGTGCAATACTCTTCGCTCGTCGGAAGTACACTTCCCTTTCGGAGCAACATATCATAGAGTTGCGAAAAGTGCATATAAGTTATGACTTTGAGTTCAAGGGAAAAGTGAGCGGTAGTACTCTCAGGTCCTTACTTCATTCTTTCTGTTGCAACTCGAACTTCAGGGAAAGAATCCCGAGTAATCCAGTGGCATAGATTTGAGTGTCCTTAGCGGAGATCATGGGACGGAAGAAATTGCTATACAAATTTCTGTTATTAAATCCATATACTAGAAAAATTTCGTAGTAGCATCATAATTGTTCACCAGGACTAATAGAAGAACATTACAATAGCAAATATCTCAGTGTCACTTCTTCAGATTACTGCTTTTGTAAGTTGCTTTCGACAGTTTTTCTGCTTTTACTGATGTATGCCATCTTGCTAAGGTCTCCTGAAGTTGGCACTTATCAGCAACCTTCTCAGGTTTGTTACAGGGGAGCAGGTTCAAGTTTCGGATGTGTTCTTCTTGGAGCAAGTTCTTAATGACCATGGAGATGCGGTCTGAAGTCTTTGTTTGAAGAACTGGGATTAATTTGGCACAAGTTTTATGTCCTTGCACAAAATCTCGCAGTCTTCGGCCATCCTTGACCAGCCAGTGATATTAGAAAAGGATTTCAATGAGAACTTCAAATTTCTATTCTTGATCGGTGAGAAAAGTCTCTTTCAAGCTTATGGCTGGAATAGAATTTTTGCAAGAAAGAGACGGTGATCCACTCTGTGGTGATTGGACGCGGTATAAAATGATGGTTCTATGGATATTACAAGCACTTTCTGTTTGTGACAAAGTGGCCGATCCTTGCGGGCGACGCACCGTTAAATGACGCCACTCGTCTAGTCGCAGCTCTCTTTCTTTTGGAAAGATAGCGTTCCATGTAGTAATGTAGTTGTAAATTCATCTAGACGGTTTCCATTCTCATTTCGTTCACCTGTACCAAATTTGTGATACTATATTTACTTCAGTTGACTATTCCTGTTTGAGCATAGATGTCTTCGACAACAAATTAGTAGAAGGTTTTGTCGTTGCGGATTATCTCTTCTACGTGATATCAGAACACATCTAAATCACACTCGTTGACTGCATCGGTCGGCAAGCAGCGATTGATGATACTGATCTTTTTATGAGATTGAGACTCACGAAAGACGGGAAGCAAGACGGGTGATGGAGGAGTGCATGACAAAACATTCGACACCAAATTTCGTGACGAAATTTCCTCGCGGCGAATGGGAGTGCTTTCTTCCTTTAATTAGTGTATATTGTTCCCCTCATCTTTTGTTTTCTATAAAGCGATAACGTCCTATTTGATAATTTGATACAACCAGAAGCTTCAAGAAGAGCGTGAATATGGGCTTTTGATCTTCCTGTCAAGTTCCCATGACGTCCCGTTCAACACGAGCTTTTTTCGTTTCTAACCATTCTTTTTACCTCCTGACGTTTATGCTTACAATATGCAGGGTTCTAAGGCTAGCCCATTGCTAGTTGAGTTATGTGTGGTCCTTTAGACGACCCGCCCAGTCTTCCAGGTCGTTTTTAGATAATCACCGGTCTTTGTGAATCAAAAGAAGATTACCCATTTTGCCGCTGATCTGATAGTAGGACAGTGGTGATTTCTAGTATTGGTTTACTCTTAGCTGGGCCTCTTAATGGAATGCTAAATTTTTTCTTCGTATTTTTGTTGAGCAAACGCGAGGTGTTATTATTCTTTGTTCACGATTAAGCTGACGTTTCGGCGGATTTCGGCTTCCTCAGAGCCTGGACTACTTAGGTGGTATGGAAACCTTATGGAAACCTCATAGGAAGCGGTGAGTTTGCAAAGCTGTGTTCAAAGTGATTGAAATATTCGTTTGGAGTTTCTTTGTTTGGTTATGGAGACGTCTGGCCGAGTAGATTGCTCTCAACTTGACCTTTCCAGGCTCTGAGGAAGGCGAAATCCGCCGAAACGTCAGCTTAATCGTGAACAAAGAAAAATAACACCTCGCGTTTGCTCAACGAAAATACGAAAAAAATTGCTTGATCAATGCCGAGGTTAATGGAAAGTCGGTCGTGGCAGCTAAATTTTTTTTCAGTTTTGGAACTGCATGGGAAGATAAGCCCCTGCTTTAAATTGCAGTTCGGCACTCAGCAACACCCTCCAGAGGCGATGAGAATAAATGACGGTCGTGATGCTAAACTAGTGAGGGGACGTCAATGGGGATCCGATTGCTTTACTTAACAGAAGGTCTCACTTCCATGCTAGCAGCAGTAGAGTTCGAGTATAACGAAATGCCTTGTTGAATAATGGCGAAGTCAATAGAAGGTCGGTACTAGGAATTGGAACAACCATCTTTAACCGTATTTTTTGCTTTCTTTCAGAATATCCCCGAAAGCTGATCTGTCAATGTTGACAACAGAGCCCTCGGATTGGAGTGAGTACATTCTGGTGCAAGCTGAAGACACTGCAATAGCTGGGCAAGTGAAACTGACAGAAACGTAGAAAGACACTTGCAAGTTTTTGAAATTCAGATTTTTTAGGCCGATTAAATTCGACAAATTCAACGAACACATGTATTGGTTGTGGAGTGATGAAAACAACGATCTTGGTATTTCTAGACTTTCATAGTTACGCTATTTTATTATTACTACCCGTTCTCAGTACTGCACATAAACCTCAAAATTCGCAAAGGAGTATATATATCTTTAATAAGTTAGAAAATGTTCATGTATTCAGACTTTTGCCGTCTGCATTGCTGTACCTTTTCATCTTGGCTAGCAGGTTTCGTCTTGTACAATATGGTCTTCCGCGTTTGGAAGGAGTTCGACATTTTTATCTGGAAGATCAGCTGAGAGGAAACCAATTCCAGAAATTGTCACCGGTTTCATCCTAGTCGTAGGACTGAAAGTCTTTTCTTACCTACAGAGACAGGGGAAGACAACTTCTTGATGTTGCAGGCGACTCCAGACGCAAATCTGAAAAACTTCGCGATCAAGGATAGATCACCGAAAGACTTGGAGAAAGATCGGCTACCTCAAAACCTAAGCCTCCCAACAGCAAAAAGATGTCGTCTACCAACCAAATAAAAACCATGTGCGGCTTGCGCGATTCGTCGTGGTTATTGAAGTATTTAATTAATTACGTGGGTTCTATGAGCTAAAATCTTATTAGCCGTCAAGTAGCTCAAAGCGACATCAGGCAGTATTCCATCTATTACTGTCGCACTACCCGCCAAGAACTGCCCAATGGACTTCACTCGTTTGAAGCAAACAAATATTCCTACACGTTTTCTTTGAGACTCTACGTTTTGGCAATAGCGGTGTGTCTGTGGTGCCGTGCTTACAGGAGCAGAACAATACAAGTGCTGCTGGTTCTCTTCCTCTTCTCCAGTCAAATCGGGCCTTGCTGCTTTCCAGGAACAGTAAATGTGCACTAATTTTCTCTGAGAAGGTGAAAAAACAAGCGCCATGCACTGCTTTTTTAAATGTATGGAGCAAATATTCACTGAAACACCTTTACGGTGATTAATGGAGTACGGTGCATCGCAAGACCCTCAAGGATTGATCAACGCAGAGCGTTTCGTAGTCTATGCTTTGTGAGTAAAGCGCATTTGCGACTAGCTTGCCTCCGATGGACGATGGCGTCTGGATTCGGTCTCGTGTATTCTGTCGACAAGCGTTTGTGGAACAGAAGTCGCGTATTTGTTAGGTCTCAGAAAAATTACATGACTATTTTTGCCCTACGTTTAGGCGCCTATATACTGCATCGAAATGCACCAGGATGCTTTACGATTTGTTTGTTCTCTAATGAGGATGAATCGTTGAAGTCTATACAAACAATCTTTCTTCTATAAAACTTTCTTAACTCGGGTACACTATTTCGAAATTTGTGCCAGTAAGTGAAAATTTCTTCCAGGAACCCTTGTCAAGTTTCCATTCGATGTTCCTGAAAAGAGAGAGGTACTCTATACTGCGACTCGTGCTCAGATCTCCACCATTCTATTCCATCCGACGGATAAAACGTTGCTGGCCATCACTGAGGTATAATGACACTGAAGGATAAAAAAAATTTAAGCCTAAGCCAAATGAAATAAGAACGCAGTTGGACAGGAGACAGCTCATATCCTTTTAGTAGCACCATGTTAAAATTTTTATTGATTACAAGTTGTAGAAATGGTTTTATAAAACCCGAATTGCACTTTGTCTTGTTCAGCTCTATCACAAACCGGAGCTTTTTGTTACTAACAATACCGTGGTTGAGGACTTTCAGTACTTAGTAAACCTTCGACCACATGGATCACTTGAGATTTTATCTTTAAGTTTAGGTAACGATTTATTTGTATCTTTACCTTTTTACTTTATAGTTCCTTGTAGTTTGTAATTTTTTTTACCCCTTTTGTAGTTCATGCTGTTATCAGATAAAAACCAAATGGTAAGACGATTTCCGTTGCGTGACCAAGGGCCATTTGGCAATGATGCAAATTTACCTCTACCGACCTACTACGTGCTACCGAACTTCACACTTTTGATTTAGTTCTTCAACCTTCTGCAGATCTCTGAAAACAAATCCCAAGTGGTCGCTCGGTAGAGTGCATTGTATTGAGTTCTTTCCGACATTTTAGTACTCACTGCTCATGGGTCACAACGAATCGAATATAAGTCCTCGTTATCCGTTAATCACCAGTGATACAAAGGCTTCTGGGTGACTGGGCGCAAAGAGCTTTGTTTTTTAGTTTACTGGGATAACGATGTCTGGTGGTTTACTTACACAACGCAGAGCGGACATCACGTGAACTTATGATTTATTTTCAGATATGTCAATGTGGTTGGTGACATATTTGTCCGCTGACAAACCGTACGAAATCTTCATTTATAGAAAATGGATGAAGAAGGTACATGGCAATGTTTGGTTAAAAATGTCACTCTATTTTTTAAGAAGGAGATAAGGTAACAAGCATTAGGGGTTGGTCAATCAAATACGGATACACCACGCTTTCAACTCCATTAGGCATCTTAGAGATGACTGAATGCGCATCTGGCCTATTCAGTGAGTTTCGGAGACTTTCCGATAAGTTAAGTCAATGTTTTTATGCTAGAAGACAAAATTGGGACTAGTTTTCCGAAATAGTTGATAGGGAAGTCTTGCTTTACCCTGGGACCGAGATTGGTTTAAAGACCGCATTACTATTGCGGGGCACACCTGTTCACTGAATCAACGAACGTATGTCTACTAGTAACCAAACGCTAATTTATTTTTGTATTTAAGGCCGAATTTTTCTTCAATAATCGACCGGAGCTTAAAGCCTATAAGCTGAATAATCAAATCGGTTTCGATTTCAAGACTAGAGATAACATGGTCCTTCAGGCTTATCTAAGTCTTCCACCTGAGGTACGATTTTTAATACAGTGGTATTCGTCAGGAACAAATAAATTTTCATGATAATTAGACTTAAAGCAGATAAATCTCTAGATTTCTCTTCGTCGTCCTCAAGATGTGCCAATGGCCGATCGCGGTTACGCCGAACTTGGCATGCTACCTGTGAAACCTCAAAAACTAATCGTAAACGTACATGGAGGACCAAAGGCTAGAGATAGTTACGGATTTTCCCCAATGAACGCTTGGCTTACGAATCGTGGTTATGCAGTGCTACAGGTATCCTTTAGAACACTATGCTATACTAAATATGTCTTTTTAGAGTAATTATGAAATATTCTCCTAACAGTTTACCGCCTCATGGGTGGCTGGGAGATGTTCCTGGGTGTTGGACTGCGTTGTACAGCAAGGGATTCATTGGTTGGCAAGGTGTCTCAGGCCGAGAAGAAGTCTGGTGTTCCCTCCAGGATGCCTAGCTAAGAGCAACCCAATACCAAGAAACCAATACCAAGATACCACCGCCGTCCTGGTATCAAAGTCGCATGGTGGCAAATCTCTCTCTGATCCACAAGCGCTGCGACTGCCTATGGTGGTGAATACCTGGGGCAGACTTTGGTCAAGCTGACCTCAGGACTCCAGAGAACCTCAAAGGCTTAACCAGCAAATCTATGCAAAATGAAGATTATGGTGGGTCCCGCAAAACCAGTGAGGACGAGGCATTCAGGTGTCAAGTGTCAAGTATGAAATATTACAAGTTCACAAAGCTTCTGAATCGCCTAGAGAAGTAGTCTCTGAAGAACAAAATGAAATATATCCGTAAATGACTGTTCGTTTATTATTGGTAGGAATAACAAATGTTTGTTAATAGGTGAACTTCCGTGGGAGTGCCGGTTTCGGTAGGCGACTGACAAATGCCGGTGACGGAGAATGGAGCAGAAAAATGCACTTCGACATTCTTGACGCTGTCGATTTTGCTATCGCCAAGGGTATCACCAACGGTTCTTTAGTAGCAATTATGGGTAAGTGGTAAAAGGAACGATCGTATTGCACCATAAAAAGAAAGAATTCAGTGTTTCTACTGTAATCATCTTGAAAATCAGTCGTGAATTATACGCTAAGTGATGTAAATGTACAAAAGTGTTTTAAATTTTACATTCTTTTCTTTAAGGCGGGAGCTACGGTGGTTACGAAACATTGGCCGCTCTAACTTTCACTCCTGATGTTTTCGCTTGCGGAGTGGATATTGTTGGACCATCGAATTTGGTGACTTTAATACAAACGGTTCCACCATATTGGAAAGGCTTCCACATGAAACTCATACGAATGCTGGGAGCCGACATTGTTAGGTACGTACAGTTTTTTAAAACACGATACAGAAGAATCTGTCAGGGAAACAAAAAATAAGCATCATGAAAAAAAGTTGTCCTGTGAAAAGGTTCAAGCAAAAACTAGGAATTGGTTTCTCACTTGGAGACCTATCTCTCACTAACACGGAGAAAAACGAAACGAGTAGAAAAAGTTATAAAAAGCGTTTTATGGGCAACTCGAGTAGGGAGCAATTTTGCTCAGTTAAACGTCTAGGGTGTGGGTGGCACAGTGGTTATGAGCGCCCTGGCAGTACACACGTGGTTTTAGTTCGAAGCTGTCGACTGGGCTGAGGAACTCCTAAGGATGCTTCGTGGTATGGGATACGTACGCATCCTTAAGGAATTGATTAACACTGAATGTTTTTACTTTTAAACAAATGTCGATTTTTGTCTTTTTCAACATTTCATTGCAAAAACATGACGTCATATTCTGAACACTGTGGTTTTCAGCGAAGAAGGGCGTCAATCACTCGCTGCTCGCTCACCGCTATTCTTTGCTGATCGAGTTAAAAAACCGCTCATTATCCTTCAAGGCGCTAATGATCCTCGTGTGAAACAACAGGAATCGGGTGTGTTCACCGATGAATACGACGTTAACTGATTTCATCTAGTTTATTTCATCGGACAGTTTTTCTCCTTTGCAGATCAATTTGTTGAAGCTCTGAAGAAGAACAACATCCCTGTTAGCTATATTCTCTACCCGGATGAAGGCCATGGGTTTAGAAAGGTGATCTTCTATTCCATTCCACTATTGACACTGACACTGAGTAATAATTTCCACGACCGACTTTCTATTAACCTCGGCATTGATCAAGTAATTCTTTGTATTTTTGTTGAGCAAACGCGTGGTGTTATTTTATTCTTTACTCAAAAACAAGCTGACGTTTCGGCGGATTTCGCCTTCTTCAGAGCCTGGAAAGGTCAAATTGACCGCAATCTCCTCAGCCAAATACTTCCTTAACCAAACAGAGAAAATACTAAACTAAAATTTTTATCACATTGAACAAAGAATAGCTTCTTTGCACACTCACTGCTTTCTATGAGTCTTCCACTGAATATGTCACTTGGAGACCAACCGCACAGAGTTTACATGGAAGCGTAATGTGGCTTTCACAAAACAACAGTCTTCAATACTGCCCGATATCACGCGTGATAATGAGGCATTTTGTGAAGCCATTCTGTGTTCAACGTGATTGAAATCTTGGCCTAGCATTTTCTCTGTTTGGTTATGGAAGTGTTTGGCTGAGGAGGTTGCGGTCAACTTGACCTTTCCAGGCTCTGAAGAAAGCGAAATCCGCCGAGACGTCAGCTTGTTTTTGAACAAAGAATAACAAATAACACCTCGCGTTTGCTCAACAAGAATATAAAGAATTACTAACACTGAGTGTTCTGCTGGAAAAAGTTCTGTGTTGTTGAAAATTGAAAATGTATGTGTACTAGAAATATCTATATTTAAGGTTTCTAATCGACTGGCAATGTGTGGTTTCATCGAAAAATTCTTGCATTCATGTCTTGGAGGACGATATGAACCATACCAACAAGGACAGTACAACTCGACGGCAATCGTTAGCATTTATTTTCGTAAATCTTTGAGGGCACGTGTAGTGGGCCTTGCAATGGGATCAATCCTACGTACCAGGTCCACTAACCCCTCCGTCACCCCGGGGTTTGTAAATTGGTATCAGACTTGTCTGCGAAGATAGCTACATTGACGAGATACATTGGTAACCCGCCGTGAGTTATTGTATAGGCCAGATGCACATTCAATCACTTCTAGCGATGCTTAATGTAATAAGAAGCATGGCACATCACAAAGGGGCTGATCAACGATGAGGGCTTCAGAGCTTTAATTCTTCTCAACATATCATGAAATGGAAAAACAGTTCGTGTTTACGTGATCGTCAAAGTGCAGCGATCGTTTGACAACGTTATTTGCAGTTTCGCCACAAAGGACCAAAGAACTTCCGATTTAGATGGGAAACATAGCATATAACGGGTGCCGGATTAGAATTCTTGTCTTCAAAAGCTGAGGAAAATTCTTGAAATCGTATCTATGTATATAAAGCAGCAATATAGAGTTAAATGGCGCTCAAGAGCAACCGACCAATAACCATTTAATGTGCGGTCCAACTGGCAGCATTTGATCACCATGTTGGAGTCGTACTCTTTGTGTTTCAGCTGAAATCCGATGGTTTCTCAAGCAGCAGCACACCAGGAACACCGCATCCGATTACTGCTACTCCCCTAGCACCATCATTCCTCCTCCATCGGACAACGAAGTCTCGATCACCCGTTGTCCGATCTATTCCAAATCCGCCGCGCTCTAGTGACGTTGTTCCTACACAAATCCACTAACAACATCGGGCTTGATTCCGGTTCATGCAATATTTATATTTTTGTGATTATTATAGTTGTATGGACGTACTAACTGTGTTTTCACTACAGAAACTAGTCATTTTCACTTCTTATTTCATTATGTCATACTGTCCGAATTTCTTGTACATAGATTTTTTCCCATATTCGGTACCAGTTTTCAAGGCTCTAGCTTTATAAATAGCTTCTATTTCTGTGTTTTACTTATTTTGTCAGTCTTATTTTAATCAATTCCACAAACCGCTTTTCGTAGATCAGCAAGAGAATGACACTGAACTTTGAAATGTACTATACTGTGATCGAATTTGCTTCAAATTTTAATTTTTTTAGTTTTTTTTTTTTAGTTTTAGTTTTTAGAAAGAGCTAATTTTAGCTCTTTCTCAACAGAACATTCATCGATCCTAAACTTCCTTTCTCTATCTTCCATATTCAACGCTTTCTTTTTTCAGAAAAACTTATTTAGTACGACCATAATACCCTGCAATGAAAAAACGATGTGCAGCAAATAAAAGTTAAAACAACTTATCTGGTGCTAAATAAGCTTATCCTCTCAACAATTTACCACCTCATCGTGTCTGGGAGGCGTTCGTGCGTCTCAGACTACGCTGCACTGCGGAGGATTCACCTCCTCACCGGAAGGCGCTGTCCCAATCTGAGAAAGAGTCTGGAGTTTCCTTCCATCAGGAAGCCCAGATAAAATTAAACCAGTACCAAGAAATCGCCGCCTTCCCTCCTGGTACTAAACTGGTGGCGGCATGGTGGCGGCGACTCCCAGAGGTGGTGACGAACTGGGTCAGACTTTGCGTAGGTTGACCCCGGGACTCCAGAGAACCACACTGGCTAAACTACCAAGGTTTCGAAAAAGTAGAGATTATGCAGGAGTCCGTATGAAGACGGGCCATCCAAGTATCTAAGTAATTAAAACAGTTTCCAATGTCATCAAAATCTTGATGATATACTGGTCTATGCGACTTACTGAATTGCAAAACTTTTGAAGCGTCTATAGTGGAGAACCATCAAATTCTTGCTAATAGAACGTTTTTTTTTCAGTAGGGAATAATTTCTACCTTTTATTAATGTAACGAGTCTTAAACACCAGTGCCCTACCTCTTCGTTGTGGTTGAAGTGCTTCGTTGTGAGGTGCTTATGAGTGTAATAGAACTCCAGGTTGTTCTTGGCTCTGTAATCTCATCTCAGATAATAAAAAGTTTGCCATATTCATTGAAAAGCAAGCGAAGAGCAAAACACTGCCAAGATCGTTATTATCCTGTAATAACATTTGCTACGGGTAGGCAAAAGTCCATCCGATTTTCAGGAACCATGGGTATGCCCGGGTAAGGCTGCGTTAGAACACCGGCAAAAGAGGGATTCTCAACACTCGGCATATACGAAGCTCACTGTCGAAGTCGCTGAGTACAGAGACATCCGTTGAGTGGTGACGAAACAATAGGATTGCAAAGGTCACTTGAGGAGGTGGCCAATGGCACAGAGCTAAAAATTTCGTGAGAGTAACATAGTGGTGGTAAATGCCAGTGACCGAGGCTCGAAAAGAGACAATAGGCAGAAAGAGACAGACACTTAACATAGACAACGAATAGTAGTGAATCCAAGGACTGCTGTTCTACTAACCTCAGCATTAATAAATAAGTTAATGCATTCGTGATGAGCAAACACGGGGTTATAAAGTTAAACGAAAATATCGACATCATCGATTGCCGTTGTGAGGAGAAGATACCGAAAAGGTTCTTCGAGCTTTCTATGTCACTCATAACGTATTCGAGAATTCCAGAAAATAGCGCGGCAATTCGTCATTTCCAGTGGCTATGAAACTGTACCTGCTTGAGATAGCAGAAGAGGAGAAGGCACGACCCAAGAGGTAATTCTAGTAGGAATAAGTTTCAGTCTTTCCTGCCTTTTGTTTGAAATGAAGCAACTGCGGCCGTAAAACGTTGCCTAAAAGGGCTGGTCTAGAGAGTTTGGAAACAGTGATAGAAATATCACCGAGCACTCTATGACACCAACTAGCTCGCAACCGTCGTCTGTGCATAACGCAAAATCGCATAATACGCTCTAACGGTGGACGTGGTGATTGTATGAGTTCGTGCACGGTTTATCTGATCTCCTGTAAAGCGTGCAGGAATAAATAGATTTGCTAAAAGAGTAGACCGCTCAGCGTCCGCTTAAAAGAACATTTTATCCCTGGATTTAAAATTAAAGCAAGTCTCCACTAGGGCTGAATAGGACACAGAGATATAATGGGGAAGGTTTTGAGGTAGAAGTTACCATTTTCGCACAGGAAACGAAAGTTTCACCGCGCAAAACTCTTGAAGTATTCTGAATAAACTCCGTTAATCCAAAAATGAACCGCAGTGAGGAATGCCTCGTTATCACGCTAGATCTCACACAAATTCTTAGACCGATATTTTATTGTAAGAGAGGCACATTGCCCATACATGCAAACTCTATGCGGCTGATCTCCATTGGAATGCTCAGCGGAAGACTCATAGAAAGCGGTAAGTGTGCGACGAAGCTATTTTGTTTACAATGCTATTGAAATCTTGGTTTTCTGACTTTTCTGTTTGGGTTATGGAGGTGCTTTGCTGACCAGATTGCACTCAACTCGATTTTTGCAAGCTCAAAGGAAGAGAATATCCGCTGATGCGTTGTGAATAAAGAGCGAAGTAACAGCATCCTCTGCGTTTGTCAAGAAATCGGCCGAATTATTGATTAATGCCGAAGTAAATGTAAAGCCGGTCATGGAAACTATCCAATTCTCAGTCGTGTTTAAAAATCCTTATGTGTAGTAGAATGGCCTCATTATAACCTTAACGTGATTTGTACGTTGCGATTATGCGACTAAACTTGCGGTCCAAGCTATAAAACGCTGTTTAAGAAGGGCCAGCCTACAGAATTCGGTAACGATAATCGAAATACCACCGAGTAATCTAAGGCACCAGCTAGTTCGTAACCGCCTATACGACCGTCTATGTGCAACGCAAAATTGCATAATTTGCCCCAATGGTAGAGACGGTGACTGCATGAGTTCGGGTACAGTCTATCTGATCTCTTGTAAAGCGTGCGGGGACGAATACGCTGGCGAAACGGGTAGACCACTCTGCGTACGTATAAAAGAACACCTAGTCGGCAAACATAAGCTAAGTACTCCACTAGGTACGCATAGCACGCAGAAACGTAACGGAGAAGATTTTGAAGTAAGAGTTACGATCCTCGCGCAAGAATCGAGAACACAAGCGCGCAATACTCTAGAGGCATTCTGGATTAATTCCAAGAATCCGAAAATGAACCGCAGGGAGGATTGTCTCATTATCACGCTTGATATTAGGCAGTATATAAGCCTGTTATTTTGATGAGATGGGCACAATCCGATTCCATGTGAACTCTGTGCAGTTGGTCTCCACGGGACATATTTAGTGGAAGACTTGTAGAAAGTGGTGGGTGTGCAAAGACTCTGTGTTCAATGTGATTGAAATTTTGGTTTAGAATTTTTTCTGTTTGGTTATGGAGGTGTTTGGCCGTGTAGATTGTAGTCAACTTGACCTTTCCAGGCTCTGAGGAAGGCGAAATCCGCGGAAACGTTAGCCTGTGGGTAAATAGAGGAATAAAATAACGCCTCGTGTTTGCTGAACAGAAGTAGAAAGAATTATTCAATCAATGCTGAGGTTAATAGAAAGTCGGACGTGGGAGTTAAAGTTGCCGTGTTCGCTATCGCGTCGTCACTCATTCGCATTAATGGGCCAATGCCCTATATCAATTGCACTTTGACCAATCGGACTGTTTTCCTTCAGTACTTCCGATGCCTACGAGCTTGTTCTATCTATTCCTTAGCTTTCTATACAAATTTCAATGTATATGTTATGATAAAATGAAAATAAAAATGATCTGAAAACAGTAAATCTGACGCTAGTGAACCATTTGTGAACTAATTTTGGAGAACTAGTGGCGACATCGGGACCGATGTGAAACCCATGAACTTAAGTTGCAAACCTTTTATACTTTTAGCATTCGTTTTTATCATTATTGTACTTTTTAAAACCATTTTCAATCGGTTCGAAATTTTTAAGACATCACTTGCTTAAGGCCGGACGAGAGAGAGAGATAGGCGAATGCTATTCTCGTTAAACTGTTTACGAGGGAAAATATTTCTTATTCAACGACTTTTGAGTTCTCGAAATTGTTAGTGCAAACCGATGTGTCTTTTCACGTTTATTGTTGTCTTAAATTTATTTGCACGACCCGTTATCACATTTAGTGTGCTAATCTCAGCACTTGTTGCATTCGACTCGTTTTCGTTCACAAAGGTCTTCGTCCCAACATTTCGCATGTTATTTCGACTGCTGTTCGAGGATTTTGTCCCAGTTACGAACGTCGATTCTCCATGCAACCTAGGAGATAGCTGAGCTAAGCCGTCCCCACGTCAACCGGAGGACAGCGTTGGGGAGGTCCAACTAGCACATTGTTTCCTGGTGGACTGCATCACTAGCCTCTACGCCGATTTCCTCCTTCCTCACTTTTTCATATTACAATAGGTTTTGCGTGTTAAATGCATACTGAATATGTGTGATTGTCACTGTCCATTCCATGATTACTGAATGAAGATTGCTAATGATTGGCCAGCTCATTTTTCCGAGCATTCTGTTTGTTTGATGCCAGCTATAGCTTTTGCTGTCTTTGTAATATATATCACTTGCTCGTGATAGCATGATATTTAATGTATCCATTGCAGACGCTCTTCTTGTTGCTGCGGCTACGGCCTCTTATTTATAGCGCTTCTGCGTACTGATTGCTTCTTCATCTATTTCGTTTATATGCACGTTTATTGATCTCCTCACGCTGTTGCTATTCTGTAAAGGCTGTTTTGATAAAGCTTTAGTTGCCCAAGTTTGATGCTAGAACTGCAGCACGCAGAAAACGGTCGGTGTCGCCGGCCAAAAGAACAGAATCATGCATCAAACACGGTCAAC